AAAAGAAGTATATCCAAAACACTGGAGTTTTTTAGAAGTCTAAACTGATAAGGATAACAACTGTGAGCCTCAGTAGGCAATATCCTTTCTGTTTGGAAATTTAGGAACAAAAAGGAGGGGTTTCTGAAACAAGAAAGACTTATTGCTCAACAGTAGTAGTTGGGTTTGTATTAAAAGCTTCAGGAAGAAGTGGTAACAAACCTAGAAAACTACTATTTTTGGAGTCTGGAGGCTAGCAGTGGAGAGTAATAATGCTGTATTTATGCTTACTCAGGAAAAATACTTTTTGGTGCTTTCTTTGATTAAAAAAATGCTAGGTTTTTAATGGCTGTTACTGATCAGGCCCTTTTTTCCCTTTGTTCCTCAGTAATCAGGTATTTCTAAAGCATTTGTGTCAGTCGTGGCCAAGTTCTAGTTCTTTGCCTCATTGTGTGCTGCCTCACACCTGTGTCAGAGGAGACTGAACGAGTTCTTGCAAACTCTGCTTTACTCAGGGTTGTAGATCTCAAATTCAGGTTCTGATCCACCCCATCCTTAGCTTATGGGGAAGTGGTGAGACTGTGTTAGGTTGATACCTCATCCCCATGGAACTGCGCCTTGTTGTCTACTACTAGCTAGAAAACATATTTGATTATGCTACTTGTTGCTGCCTTGTGAAGGTGCTTGTTGTTCAAGTGGAGAAACACTTTCATGTTCATGATATGTCTCCATTTCTGAAGAAAGAAGTGTGAGGCTGTTCAGTCTGGCTTCAAGAGTCTTCCATAAAAAGCAGGATACTTAATGGAGGAATGGAGTCCTAGTTTTGTGGAACAGTATTACAAAAGGAGACATCACGCCATTTTCATGGAAATTGAATGACACTTTTCTGGTCCTTTCTCTACTTCTGCTTTTAATATAAATTGAATAGTAAATACAGGTGAAGAGAAAAAAAGCCCACCTGTCAAAATATAGCTCTGTTTGGTTACCTCTGTCCATGGGACAATTTTAGTAACCTGCCAATCAATGGGCTGCTAAATAGCCTCTCCAAAGCACAATCTGCTATTTCAGACGACATCAGTGTGTCAATCATTTATTGAATCAAAGCCAAATTTGAAGCAAAGCAAGCCCAGTTTGTCAATCACTTCTCAGTATTCTCTCCACTAACCACCTGACAGCTTTTAACTTTTCACTTTTATATTCCATGCAGCTAGTTAAGATTCTTTCATTTTTAATTGGGCTGCTTTTATGATTGGTAGCTAAGCAACTAATATGTTGTTTTATATGGTAATAATGGGCCCAAACTTGAGAGCTTTCTTGACCATTCCTATTTGTTGTTGGGAAATTATTTTCCTTCAAGTTGCTAAATAGCAGATGTAGCAGAAACGGTTATTTAATTATGGGTTGTCCTGTTGTTTCTATCTATAAACAGTTTTGGCACTGTTTAAAAATAAATACTGCATGCGCTGGCAAATATATACTGAATGATTTTAACTCCTGATAGAGTCCCTTGGAATTTCACTGCTCATTTACAGGGAAAACTGGGTAAAAAAAAAAAAAAATAGTGAAAGGATTGCCAAAAAGCAGTTTGGAAAAATATTAGCGAAGGACAGAGTGAGAAATCTCTGTCCACAGTCCCACCAGGCTTTAATCCAACCTGATCAGTTTTCAGTCTTAATTTAGGTACAATTAAATTTCTGAGGCCAAGTACTATGCTCTGAACCACCATCTCTCAAAACAAGCCAGAAGCCCTTCCTGAACAGTTTGCTTTTCAGTCCAAAGCAGTGTTTTGAGTTAAGATTTTCCGTACCTGCGATGTGAAACTTCTGGGTCAGAGCTGGGGTTCCCCAAAGGTGACCACAAATCCTGGTGTGATTTCAGTCCCATCTCCCCCATCGTGCACAAGATGAGCACTGCTTTCACGTTTGTAAAATCATCTCACAGCTAGTAGTAAATGTTCTTGCCTTTCTGTTTCTAAAGATTGTCATCAGCATAGCCAATGTGTTGTTTTCAGACAGAAAGAATTAACTTTCTGTCCTTTCCATGGAAGGAAGTTTGGAAAAAGAACTATTTTTGTGTTATATAAAATTCTATTTTGGGTTCAAAAGAGTTTTCTTAATTTAATTCTTTTGCATAACTATTTGATGGGCTCCTAGCTGTCTTTTGACAGACTGCTGTCATCTGGTTTGATCCAAAACTGTGAAACTCCAGATGTGCCCAAGAACTTGGGAGAACATGGATATACTTTTGCAAAAAGCTGCAATAGGCTTCAAGGCAATCTGATACTAAATGTACTTCCCAGTCCTATTTGAATTTTACATTGTTTTTTGTATTTCTTTTTACCAAAGACTCAGGAAAAGCAAGTGACAGTGCATGAGGATTGACAGTGCCGAGGCAAATGGTGGCTTCTTGTCTATGGTGTATCAGAAATCCAGTCCAGATGCTAAATGTTGGTTCCCTAGAGCACAGGGAAAGATGCTGGTACTGTGACTAAGTGCCCCTCTCTTAGGAGGAAGATCCTAGAAGACTGAGATTGGAAAATTAATAAACTAAAAGAAAAGCTATAAAGCAGATCATTCTTTGAAATCTGATGAAAATAGCAGCTACTCCTAGCTTGCAAATGAGTTCTTAAGGAAGTGCCAAAAAATACGGTTTTGTTCTTTTTTTTTTTTCCCTCTTTATGGTGTTTCTGATGCCTTCCATTGAAATCAATGTAGTTAAGTAATAATGAATTACTATGAGATCAAGGATGGGCACCTACTATTCTTGACGTTCTGACAAATGAGGTATAAGTTTGCCTGACTGCATAAGTGATTAAAAGAGATTTTATGGACAGATTTGTACTATTTATATAACCAGATATTAAGGAAAGTTTTAAAAAGGTGCTTTGATCCCAAGCTGCCACCATAGTTTGGCACAGATTGTTAATCTTGGCTCAAAGGGTGTTCAGGCCTGGCTGAACATGATGCTTAGCTCTTGTAGTTCAGGCATCTGAGCAGAGGGGAAACCCACACAGCACCCACCTACACAGCACCTGGTCTGTGAATCGGCTTAAGACTCTCAATGGAAGAATTAAGATACAGAAGATCATAAATATTATACCAATAAAAGAAGGGCAGGGTCAAGAAAGCCAGAAATACTTGCAGGGGTTTTGTTTTGTTTTTTTTTTTTTTCCAAATGGTTCCATTTTGATCATTCACATAAAACAATACTAAGAAATTACCATCTGTGTGCAAAAATGTCAGTCTGTCTGTATACCTGTTACTATTGCTGTCCTATAACTTTTCTTAAGGACCCTTTGGACCTAAATAAATGATACTTTTAAGTGTATTCAAACGTATGAATTGTACGGTGGCATTTTTGTTAGATAAAACCTGTTGGTCAAGAGCAACTCCAAAGCACCTACTTGGTTGAAATTCCTACCTGAGCAGAAATACTGAAGTCTCTGCATATCAGTGTAGTAGTTCGCTCAGTCTTCAGTGCAGCCACTGAAAGTCACAATGCAGTTTACAGCAGTCAGAGCATCTTCAGGAGCACAGAAAAGAGGCTGCAGTTACAATCCATTTCTATAGTCTAGAATTTAGAAGTTGAAGGCTGTAACTGCTGTCATTTAGAAGTACTAACTGCTAAAACTGCTAGCTTTCAAAACAAAAGCAAGGCTTAACACACAGTTACACAGGTATTTCAAATGCAGAGTGAGTTTTTCGTTGTTTTCAGATGGAAAGGTAGCATTCAAGATGTGCTTTGTTCAGAGCAATGTTTGTTCTGTAGGACTAGAACCCAGAACCAAACGGGCCAGTATACACACATTATGCTTGATGCCATGTAAGGAATTTAAAACCATGGAAAATGACCCTTAGAGATTTCAAAATAGTAGCAAGAAATTAGGATTGCTGAATTTTAAAACCTGGCTATTATTTGTCTTAGCTAGCAAAGTAAGCCGTGGGGTTTTATAAACACGAGTATGAACCAGCAGTGTGCTCAGGTGGCCAAGAAGGCAGGTGGCATCCTGGCTTGTACTGGAAATGGTGTGGCCAGCAGGACTGGGGAAGTGGTGATCTCCTGTACTCAGCATTGATGAGGCTGCACCTTGAATCCTGTGTTCAGTTCTGGGCCCCTCACTAAAAGAAAGTCATTGAGGTACTGGAGTGGGGCCAGAGAAGGGCAAAAAAAATGGTGATGGGCCTGAAGCATTAATGTGATGAGGAATGGCTGAGAGACCTGGGGTTGCTTAGAAAAGGAGGCTCAGGGAGACTTCATTGTCCTCTACAATTGCCTGAAAGGATGTTACAGTGACGTGGGATTTGGTCTCTTCTCCCAGGGAACAAGTGATGGGACAAGAGGAAACAGCCTCAAGTTGTGCCAGGCCAGGTTTAGATTGGATATGAGGAAAAAATTCTTCACCAAAAGGGTTGTCAAGCACTGAACAAGCTGCCCAAGGAAGTGGTGGAGTTGCCGTCCCTGGAGGTATTTAAGCAATGTGTAGATGTGGTGCTTAGGTTCATGGTTTAGTGGTGGACTTGGCAGCTCTGGGTGAGTGGTCAGACTTTATCTTAAAGGTCCTTTCCAACCTAAATGCTTCTAGGATTCTATAAATCCTAGAAGATATGCAGGATTTCATACACCTACAACCCCACTTTTTTGTTAGTAATGGCTTTCTGATTAATTGCATATGTTCTGTATTCACAAAGCTGGGGAGTATTTGAGTGCCTGAAATTATGAGCACTTCAGCAAACCGGTGAAGATATCTGCAGTATAAACTTTAGACATACATGGTCTGCCCTGCCAATGACCTTAATCTCATTCTAGCAGGGGAACACTGCATGTAATGCAGTCAGTGTTAGCTTTTCCCTGATCCCTTTTTAAGCACATACTAATAACATTCACGTAAGTGTAGATGCTGTTATGAGCTTGGGTCACTAGAGGATATAGTGAATTAAAATCATTTGACCTCAGAAGAAGGTGCTTCTTTGAACAGGTAACACTCAAGTAACCCACATCTTCTATACCATTCTGTATTCCAAGGTTTTTATAACACTTGATGAAGAATGTAAGGGCTATGGTACCATTAGGACTTCCACGTAGGTGAGCTGAATTGCTGATGTTGAGGCAAGCAGAGATACATCAGCCTGAAAATAATTCTGCATTACTTCATGCCTCAGTTTCTCTGGAAATAAATATTGATATGATGTTTTTCAGGACTTGTTGTTCCAGGACAGTATGAAACTTTATTTTCACTATATTTTGACGACTTTTGATCGTCTGGTAAAAGGCAGATTCATTTCAAAATGCTATAACTATGCTGTAAAACATTGTGCGAGCTACCAAATCTTGTTTCTTTTTAAAGAACAGATCATAAACTCTTTGGTACGATTCGGTATTAGCACCCATTTCAAAATTATCAGGGAATGCCTAGCAAAAATCTTGTGCTGTTCTTTGCAATTACTTAAAACTCAGAACTTAAGCTTTCATTCTCATGAGAAAAGCTAGGTGTTTTATTGACAGCATGGGTGCTATACTGGGGAAGCTGGTTTGCTTTATCGTAAATGACTCCTTTATCTTGATATTTTTTGGTAGCTGTAGAACTGTGCTTCATAGTATTCAAAGTGGTTTAATAAAAAGTATCCACAACTCTAACTTAATTTACTGGCAAAGCACGATTTCTTAAATTATGGAGAGAAATTGGAATCACAGCTTTATGCCTATGCCTTTCCACACATTGCAGATTGATATCATAATGCATGAAATATTGAATACACTACTCTAGCCAGTCATGGAGACCCTGAGGTTATCCTTTTTTACAGATTTACTTAAGTCTGTCCTCAGCTTGGGTTATTTGTTTACTTGTGTTTTGGAAGTCATTCACTCCTGTTTCCAAATGCTCCATGCCCTTTTGTTCCATTGTAGGTGCTTGTCTCTTCAAAGTGATTCTACTTTGAAGAGACAAAGTGGGGTCTAACTGCAGGAAAAATGCTTCCAATATCAATAAAAGCATTATATATAAGGAAACCAGTTTAACACTTAAATTTAGCTACGTACTGAACAGATCCTGCAGTGGAGGAAATCTGCTGCATGTTGCCCTCATTGGCTAACTCTGATTCAATCCTGATTTCAAGGAGATGAATTCTGTGGGCCCTTACTGTCATCCATTGGCTTATGGCTTGTACTAAGAGATACAGAGAAATGCCAGTAGTGTTTTCTGCAGGTATTAGTGTCATCCAGACTTTTAGTGCTCTCATGTTGTAGATCCTAGGAGGATAACTGCCCAAGGGTCTATTATTGGGCACTGTCAACAGAAAAAGCGTGCTGCTGTGTTCTTATTCTGGTGTTGCCTAACTGAATTGCAAAGGTCATGCTTTGTAACATCACTTGTATTAAAAGTAGCCCATGTATGGAGACTACTTTTCTGTATTTAGTCCTTGGAAAATGGGAATCAGCTAGGGGGCTGATTATGGGGTTGCATTGTGATAGGTACAAGTTGAAGAGGTTTTGGGTTTCTGTAGCATGTGCAGGCAGCATGTGAGCCCTGTGCTGAGTGGGATCAGTGGTGGGATAGTTTACTCGCTCCAGAGGCAGCTCTGCAATGTGTGCAGGGATGTTTCCTTGCAAGCAGAGGGGGACTCTCTGGGTGCTGTGTCAGAAATCAGTCCTGATATGTTCACACTGCTGTCTGCTCTGTTCGGTGCTGTCCCCACTGTCTGTGCATCCCCACACAACAAATGACAAGCCTCCTTCATTTATTCATGCTATGGCTGATGTTCGCTGCGAGGAAAGGGAGAGGAAACTTTTACTGGGAAGAATGGTCCTTGATTTGAGGCAGGTGCTGCTAGTGTGCTGTGTAGAGCTGTTGTCTGTTTTCATGTCTGTTACAGTTCTCCTAATTGTGAAGGATATGGTGGTGGTTGGCATATAGACAATAACCAAATATTGCTCTTTACACAACCACATAGACTGTCAGTTTGATCAGATGCTGATTTCCCCCCCCCGACTTATTTCACAAGTCTCTTGAAAAATTAACTTTTGAAAACGTAACTGAATACTTCATAGAAACTCCCTTTATCACTCCTATGGACAAATTTCATCGACTTGGAATTTAAGAGCTAATTCTGCTGCTTAAGTTATATTCTCTTCAACTCACATTGGCAGCTAATGAAATAAGAGAACACTAAGGAAATAATTAAATGTTGTGCAATTAGGGCTACCACACATCAGGATATAAATAAATGCAAGCCAATATATCCTTTCATAGATTAAACTTGTCTTTATTTTGCAGCCTTTCAGCTGTGCACCACAAACTGGAATCTCTTGGAGTGTGATTGTCTGATCCTAGGACCCTATGTAATTCGTTTGTGCAGGGGTTCAGTGTGCATGTACAGATATTAAAAGCTGCAGGGGTATGCTGATTGCAGGTATGTGAAACAATGATCAGAGGAGAGGCAGCAAAGTCCAATTCTATGCTCATGATATACTTAGTTATTGCAGGGGCCTTTGAGCTTCATATGGGTTACAAATTTATCCTGAATTCCTGCAACAGATTAGGGTTTATAAAAAGCAAACCAGTAAAGAAATGCTCAGATATTCAATATATTTTCTTTCCTGAAACCAGTTTGTGGTCTGTGGGCTGCTTTCTGCCTCTCCCATTTTCCAGAGTGCCCTGTGGCCTGCTGGACCACTGCTTGGAAAGATCTTTTCAAAATGGGGAACAGTGATGCTTACCAAATATTAGGTTAATTCCAGCCAGGCTAGCTTTCATGAGAGGTCCCTGACGTTGAACAAACCTGTTTCCTTCACTAGGATGTGTCAGTTAGAAACACCAACTGCAAGGATTTCTTATGTTCTCACGAAAAAGGAAGGAAACAGCTGGTAAATGTTTCACAGATGGTAAAGCTCTTGGCATCTCTCAGGAGAGGGCCACCCATACAGATGGCTCATTATTTTAACATTTGGATTTTCATCTTATTAAAACATCTTTTTTTTTTTTTTCCTGGTTTTATTTAGCATCATAAATTCTCTTACACTTAACAACTCAGTGATTTGGGGAAAGTGTGTGCGCTGTAAGGAACATCATTTGGCTAAAACGCGTATCTGCATCATTATTCTCAGCTCTGATGTGCAGTGAGTGGACTTGAACCTGATTAAAAATACCAAATGCAAGCAAGTGTTTAGAAATATGACTTTATCAAGAAAAGGTCAGCTAAGCCTTTCTAGAAGCTGAATTATTCAGCAAATGAAGAAATGTACGGAGTGAAACAAGCAAGTATTTCTGTCTTGGGCATTACATCAATTAATGCTACAATGCTTTCTGCATGCACCATAATAGACAGGCGCTGTGTGTGCCGAGTGTTGGTAAATGTTTTGTGTTTATAGTATCACTAAATGTACAAAATACTACTTTTAAAAAGATCTGGTCAGTCACTCAGATGATGCTCACGTTTTCAGAAATGTCTGTAAAATGATGTGTTTGCAAAGGCAGTTCTACCTTGCATTTATGATGGCATGTGCAATCATAAACATGCAAATAAATGGTATGTTTCGCATATGTCATACATAAATCCCAGCTCCACACACAGTTTAATAAATATCATTAGTCCCATTTGGCTTTATGGCAGGGGGAAGGGAGGAAAACTGTGCCAAAAGGTGACAGAACTTGCCCTATGTGGCAGAGGAAACTGGGGCAGACTTAAATTGAGCTTGGATGTTCTGGCTTTTGGCTTTAGTGCCTTACCGTGCTTGCTCCCTTGATACTAGCAGGTCTCTTCAGTAGCTGATGCTCTGCACATGCATGGGTTGAAGAAGCTGAGGTAGGGACATTTAGCCCTTTCTGCAACACAAAGCAAGCAGCAGGTAGGAGGTAGTGTTGGGGAAAGGAGGAAGTAAGAGAAAGTCCTGAATGTAATCCAAATCTTTGGCCTCTTTTTTTGGAGATTTTTTTGTTTTCAGCATGGTCTCATGTGAAATTACTAAACTATATGCTTGTAGTGTAAATACGGATCAACAATAAAACAGATTGCCGTATGGATCAGTATAGAAAGATTAAAAAGTAGCAGTTGATGCATGGCCTACAGCTGCCTTGTAAATCTCATTATAGCCTCAACCAAGATATGCAATGCCTTAAACACTCTGGGTTCTCTATGATTACGCTTGTACTCTGCAATTTTGTTTTAATTAAAAATTAAATAATCAGGAGTGCAGAAAAGAAACCTAAGTCCTTTTCTGCATGTATATGTGCAACTCCCCATTGATTCCAGTAGGTTACATCAACAGCAAAGATTTGACCCAAAAGCTAACTACAAATATTCCATTGATAAATACAGGGACAGATTTGTAGCATGTAAATCACTGGAGCTCCACTGATGCCAGTGTAGTTATGCTGATTTACATCAGCTGAAGAGTTGGCCTGTGGAATTCACATTCCTTCTAAGATCAAAGATGTGTCAGCAAATGGTAAACTTCATTTGTATTTTTCAGCCTTCTGATTTAAAAATAGCCAAACTGATTTATTATTAAACGGCTGGGCTCTTATGGCGAGACTTTGTATGCCACGTTTCAGCCAGACGCTACTCTCGCAGCCAAGCTGTAAATCCTTCCAAAATGGGGTTTTTAGCTGAAATGCTGAAAACTCTGTAATGCTTGTGGGTACTGCTGTGTCATATTTATAATGGATGGGCTAATCTAACCATATCCTAAAAAATGAAAGACATGAGGGGCCGGATGGCTCAGAGGGTTGGCAGAATTGCCAACTTAAATTCAGTCATAGCCAGAAGTGACAAAGTTGTTACCATTTTTGGAAGCCTATGACATGCATTCTTGAGGCTTAGTCAATTTGTTGTCTTTCTCTCCTTTAAGAGGTCAAAGAGTGAGCAAGCCATGGAAGAAACTGGTGTTCCACCTAGCTGCTTTTTTGTTTTGGTTTACATGGTGCTGCAACTGGTGCTTTCAGAAGTACTGCAAAGGTGCCCTAAAAAACTGTGCTCATGTGCTGGGGGGGGGGGGGAGGGGGGGGGTAGCATGGATAGGTAGTGAATAACCTGACACAAAATGTTCATTAACCATTGGGTGGTTGCTGTAATATGGAGAGGGAAGTA